ACTTACTTTGAACAGAAGCTAGTGAAGCAAGATTTCAAGATTTCATTCAAAACCAAGGCATATAATATGCATAAGGTTATGATATATCAACAATATAATGAACAGTTATTCAAAAATGATTAACAAAACATATATACATACGATTATAAGGAAATCAATTTGACTAACACATATCATTTGTCTAGACTTTACTTTTTGGACATGATTTGTCTTATACTGAAGTTATCTAAATTGTTTTTATGTAAATACATTCATAAAGTTGAGAAATGCACGACTTACTGGAGAATGAGTTATTCAAATTTTGAAATAATAATTTTGCAGAATAATGCAAGTTTTAATAAAGTATTAATGGTTCCCATACAGTTTTATTGAAATCAATACAGCAGTTGCAAAGAAATAGCAATATTGCTTTATATGCAATACAAAAATAATCAAGGGCCAATTCGTAATGTCTGAAAAGGCCCCTTATGCACATTTCCTATGTATTTAAAGTTTCCCAAAAGATTCTATTTTAAAATATTAGGTGATTTGAGGATATTAGAATTTGAAACAATCAACTTTTTACGAGTAAAATGAATTCACATAAGTTAATGAATTTTTCCCCCGAATTATTTTTAAAAATAAAAACATATTTTTACTTCTTTTTAAAATGTAATGTCTTCTTTTCTCTATAGGTCAAAGGTGGTCATATTTGATTTCAAAGTTTCTAACAGAGAGAAATGGGAAAATTTATATTTCCAAAAAAAACTTTCTTACAACACGATAAATTAAACATTTAGGGGATTCATTTATGGTTCCTTTCCAGTTCTGTAAAAACTGGTCTTTCAATCTCTGTTTCACAATAGTTTTAAAACTATTTAAGTTACCAACATATTGATCACAAAAAATAGTTTAATAAGCCAAGCTTATGAAGAGTATTTTTAACAAATGAGATCCAAGGAGAGGTCATAACATTATTAACATGTAAAGAAAGAACTGTATTATACAATATTTTACATATTTTATCATTTTTTGAGGTTATCAACTTACTCCAATAACGCAATATTCTTGTTTAACCTGGAGCACTAAAGGACAAAGTCCTGTTTTCCTATATATCATACAATTGGGCGTAGACCATTTGAAATTAAGTATGAGTTTACAGAAGCGTAATAATTTGTACATTCTCTATACCCCAAACCTCACAACCATATAATAAAATAGGTACAACCATAGTGTTAAACAACAGATATGGGTAAAAACAGTTTTCTAGCTTTTTTAATAACAGAAAATATAGCTCTTCTAGCCTGGTCAACAAGATTTTTCTTGGCTTTACCAAATTTGCCATTGAAATTAAATAATACACCTATGCGAAACTTTCTACAGTTTCTAACTGTTTACCATTGTAAGGAAAGTTAAGATTCGGGTTTCTAGGCTTACGTGAACTAAAAACCACTATTTTCGTCTTATCCTCATTCACATTCAGATCCCATATAATTTACAATAATCATACGTGGCATTAAGACCATTCTGTAGATCTAATTTGTTTTCAGCTAATAAAATGGTATCATCAGCATACAAGTAGGTATAATTTTAGGTAAACATCAACTAAGACAATAAACAGTTGCACTAGATATAGTAGACAACCCTTTCATACTGGGAGACAGAGAAAACAATATTGGAGACAAATTTTTTACTTGACGTACACCAGTGTTACTACTAAAAAAATCTGACAATTCATTATTAACTTAAACACATGACTTTGCTTTATCATATATATTATAGATAATCTTTAAACATTTACCGTCAATATTATGCAACAATAGTTTGTGACATAGATGTGTTCTATTTATAGAACCAAACGCTTTTAAATTATAGTCATACATTATTTCTTAGAATTCAAGTAATAATCAATCAATAGTTTCAAAGAAAAAAACATGGTCAATCTGGGAGGGTCAATAGAACTTTCCATATTGTTTACGAAAGCCTGCTGGTTCCTCTTTAAGTATATTGTGACTTTCTAAGTAAGCACTGAGTCGCTCATTTAAGATATTAGTTAATAGTTTTCCTAAACAACTAAGTAAAGTAATGCCTCTATAGTTATTTGGATCACATACATCCCCTATTTTTTAATTATAGGAAAGATAATTACGGTGGCATAGAGGGGACATCAGAAATATTTTGTCTATCAGGTGCGCACACGATAGCTACTACGTTCGCACGCAATAGCTACTACGTGCGCGCGCGATGGGGGACATCGGAAATATTTTATCTATCACATGCGCACGCGATGGCTACCACGTGCGCACGCTATGACTACTACGTGCACACGCGATAGCTACTATGTGCGCAGACCTGTACAATTTATTACGTGCGCACGCGATAGCTTTTATGTGCGCACGTCATAATTGACCAATGACGTTTGAGGAACATCAGCCATTTTGATGCAATGATTGAACAGCCTCAACAGGTTTATGTTCGTTAATTTGTACTCTGAAGCACAATTTAATAAAACATATTTAATTGTAACAAAGGCTGTCAGTAGGGTAACTTTAAAAGAGTTGAATAGTTATTTCCCTTTGATTTATAACGCCATGGTCATCATCTACATAATAACTTTAAATGCTAGCATGTGACATTGACTTACTGTAAACAATTCTTTTAATGATAATAAAGGTGTTTTTTAGCTCACCTGTCACAAAGTGACAGAGTGACCTTTTGTGATCGCTTTTCGTCCCGGCCGTCGTCTGTCCGTCCGTCCGTTCGTCCGTAAACTTTTACTTTAACAGGTCTAGGATTTCATGATATTTATGGACTGTCCGTAAATTTATGGACAGTCTAGAAATTTACAGATTTTTCAATCCATAAATTTACAGATATTCAATGTGAAATTTGCTGTTTTTAGTTTTACAATAAAATCCGCAGCTTAAGACAAGTTGTTTTATTGATTGTTTATATTTACAAAGGTAATGGGGTGGGTTTCATCTTTGTATTGTCCAACAATATTGACCTGGCACTTCATTAACTTTCGTAAAGGTCATTTGAATAATCACTGACCGGTAGCTAACGAATATATCCATATATATGTTAACTTCACTTGTCAGTGATGTGTGGTGTATTGGTCAATTCAATTTTCAATTCAATATTTTATTTGCAATAATCAGCATACAAAATGCCTCTGGCAAAGGTTAACAAACTACAATATATATACAAATCACACATGCATCAAATTACATATAATTGTTATACAATTGTTACATCATTGCGAAGCTGATTTGGAGAAACAGTAGAGTATATGACATGCATTAACTTACATATTAATTTCATTTCTTTTTGGTATAGATGTCGGATTACCGATCTGAAGGACTCTGGTTCGAATCCATACCAACACTAAGTTATGATATTTTTTTTAATTTACTTGCAAGAATTAATATGAAATCATTTTACTACAACTGGTTTTATAATACCTTTTAAAGGGTGTTTTTATACACAATTATATTTTGTTATTTCATTACAGAATTGTTCAACGGAACTTTTTCTGACATTATGCAATCTTATAATTATGCTTTAGCTCACACACGCTATAAAGGCAGTTACATGTATTAAAAATACTACACAGATAGTAAACAAGACAAAACGGTTTGCAATAGTTGCTATAGAATGGGAATTTAAAAATTAAAATAAAAAAGAAATCGCTGAAATAGGATTCGAACCAACCAGTTAACGTCTACATATTCTTCTAGTCAATCCCCTTTACCAACTGCGCTAAGAGTGATCTTCAATTTTCACCATTGTAACAATTGGATATTTACATCCATTTCGATTTAAAAGTAGATCGTAACGGTTACGGAATATACCGATTACAGGGTCAAATGCAAGAGTGCCAGGTCAATGTTGTTTGACAATATGATGATTTTGAAATTTTTGTTAAAAGTGAAAATTGAAAGTCATCAAACTGTTCTGAATCATAGCATACTGTTACATTTAATCATATAATACCTAACCTTATTCATTTTAACCTGCGGTTTTAAATTTTAATGCAACTTCTACTATCTTCTTACTTAAGGTCTGTAAATTTACAGACAAAAAAATCTATAAAATTATGGATCGTCCAAAAATTTACAGACTGTCCGTAAATATCATGAAATCTTAGACCTGTTTAAATGACATATCCTCATAAACCACTAAGCCAATTTCATCCAAACTTCACAGGAATGTTCCTTTGGTGGTCACCTTTAAAAATTGTTCATAGAAGAACTTTGGTTGCCATGGCAACCGAAAGAAAAAGCTTTAAATATCTTCTTTTAAAAACCCAAAGAGCTAGAGCTTAGATATTTGGCATGAAACATCTTCTAGTGAGTGTCTACCAAGTTTGTTCAAATAAAAGCCCTGGGGTCAAAATTGGCCCCCAGGGGGTCATTGATTTTCCCTTTATGCATATAGTAAAAACTTAAAAAATCTTCTTTTAAAGAACCCAAAGAGCTAGAGCTAAGATGTTTAGCATGAAACATGGTCTAATTGGTGTCTACAAAGTTTGTTCAAATATAAGCCCTTGGGTCAAAATTGGCACTGCCCTGGGGGTCATTGATTTTCCTTATGTGTGTATTGCAAAAACTTAAAAATCTTCTTTGAAAAACCCAAATAGCTAGAGTTTAGATATTAAGCATGAAACATCTTCTAGTGAGTGTCTACAAAGTTTGTTCAAATAGAGGCCCTGGGGGCCTATATACAGGTGAACGACCTCAGGGTCATCATGGCCATCTTGTTGTTGTTGTTTTTGTTTTTTTGTTTTGCTTAATATTAAACAGATTTTAGGGGCCTTCAAACAGATTTTAGGGGCCTTCCATAAGATTAATCATTCATGTTAATAGTTCATGATAAAAAATAAAGTACAAGAATGCCTTACCGAAACTGTCAATTTTATGGTAGGTTAGGTGTTCAAACACCTGTGGTATAGTGATGCAATGCAAGACCCATTGTTTTGTATATATCTAGGATGTAATTGAAAATTTTTTTATTTGCAGATAGAGTGAAGTGTCTGGCTCCTAATGAATGAAGATATATTTAAGTCTTACCTACCTGCTTATGGTGATAGATTAGCTGCCTATACTTTCTGCAGAAGTAAAAATGAAAAGTTAAAAGGTGAGAAGTGCTCAGATGTTTTATGATGAATTACGTTCAAAATGGAAACATGATCGACATGGAATCAGAAGACAAGGTTTCAAACCTGGCAATTTATCTGCTGAAAGAACATCAAAAAGAGTTGAACTAGGATGAATGGATTACAATGAGAAGTTAAAGGATTATAAACAAGTGTGGCAAGTTGGTGGAGGAGGTGTTTGGCACCTCACTGTTCAGAAAACACTTCCTGTTAAGACACTCTTGGGGCACGCTAAGGATATATTTTTTTCCGTTGGGCATTTCCAAACATGGATTACTTGAAGAGTTTGATGTAGAAGTCAAAAATTTTCAAGGCATGTCTATGAACTCAGATATGACAATTAATGATCTCTGTATTCAGTCAAAGTTAAAGATCCTTAGAGTGTATATGTATACCAAAAGAAAGACAGAAAAGGTTTCATTATAAATTATTTGCTAGACTTATATCAAAGTGGCATAATGCTCATTATTGTCAGGTTGGGCTAAAGTAACTATACATTTCAAAAGATTGAACATTAAAATGGTGACTGACCAATAGTTGATAATGATAACTGTTTCTATTATATAAAGACTGTCACACTCCTTTTATATGCCTGTTTGAAAAACATGACTTATTATAGATTCACCTGTGGCAGGCGGGCGAGCGGCGTCCAAGATGTTGTCTGCTCAATTAACTTGAGTAACCTTTGACGTACATTAATGAAACTTAGTGACAATGCGTTAGGCCAAGTTCGATAATCAGTAAATTTGCTCCAGTAAGTCTTGAGTTATTCCCCTTTATTTCATGCTTTTCAGTGTTTTATTGTAATATATCAGATGATTATATTCTGATAAACCACTAGTGAAATTTATAAAATATAATTTTCACTGTAGCCGAACTATATCTGAATGCGGATGAAAAGAAAATCATAACCAAAATGGAATTACGGGCAGAAATAAATGCCGTCATGCGTAAATTTTGCTTTTTTAGGAAAAGAAAGTCGAAGTCACCATACATCATGTTTTAAAACGTAACAAAGTTAGAGGAATTTAACAGAACTATATTTAAAAATTGATCATGTGACGTCATGATGTGATGACGTCAAAGAGGAGAACGCGCGATGTTATGCGGCAAATTCAGTAAAAATACTTAAAATCACTTAAAAAGCATGAAATAAAAAGAAAATTTATTTGTTTTACATATAAGATTTCAATCTTACATGCAAAACAAACAAATATCCTCTATTTATTTAAATAAGCCTTGTTTGCTTAGTTACTGATCAGGAGTTATTGCCCTTTAATTATCAAAGTTAGGTAAAATTTTCCTTGTCTGCTCAGTCTTAGAATTAAAAATTAGAAAAGATATGTCATACACTGGTGGCATTCAAAGCTCTTTTTTATTAGAACTAGATATTTCAAAATTTAATAGTAAACAAATGTATTTTTAAAGGCTCATTTAACTTCAAAGTTTCTTTAATTTTCATTTTTCATAGGCTTTTAAATTTTGATGTCTATATATGATGTCCAAAGGTCACTCAACGCCAAACAGCTGAACAATGCTCCGCTTCTTTTGCTTTCTGGCCATTAGGACAGCTGTAGCGAGTTAATATTTTGTTTGGAAATCAAGATATCACATTTTTTCATTTTTCGTTTTTATTCATTTCAATTTTATTCAGGTAAAAGTTATCTAATATCTAACTGTCTTTAGCAGATCACTAAAGCTGTATAAAACACATTTTTTGTAGAGCATTTTTTATTAGGCTTAATAATATTTGTGTCTTTAAATAAGCATTATGTTATAAAAGAGGAGCATATAATATATTACTTTGTTATTATTGTCTTTTAAAGACTGGTAATGGAAGTTTCACTCTTTAATTATTGTCAGGTACAAGTTGGATATGAGGGACAGGCTAGCTCCAAGAGTTTGTCCACTACAATGGATATAATATTGCCAGACCCAGAGAACTTGACCACATCACCATGTTGTATCCAAGAATCAGTTCTGTCCAACTCAGATAAAGTAAGAAGACTATTTTGTTTCACTCTTGTTTACAAAGTCTTTGTTGTAAATTTGGTATTGAATGATAAAAATATCTGAAAATATACCAGATTCTTACAATAAATGTTGTAGTGCTGAATAATGAATTTATTCCCTGCGGTCTGGAGACCGCAGGGTATTGGTACGCATTTAACTTTTGAGGCATGGAGGAGCACGTGACCTGTTTTCGGTACATGGAGGAGCACGCGATCTGTCAACCGTATATGATTGGTTAATTGACCTTTTCGAAAACCCAGCTAAATACCATTTGCCGGTAGGTTACGGATTTATCTGTAGGGAATTAGTCCGAATTATACCTAATTGAGAACAAAAAACTATTACATGATATTTCTGATTTTCTATAATTATTTTACCGTTTTAGGTAGACAAACTTGAAAGATGTGTTTGAAAATGATCAATGTTTCTTTAATATCTATCTCAAATTTTACAAACAATAAATTGTTTATACTGAAAATCCACAAAATTAAAATATTCGTAGTGGCATCTGCCATAATAAAAAAAGATATTTTCTGCGTAAACTTTTGTGTGTACTTTATTTATTTTTTGCTAGGAATTATTCATAAAATGGGAGGCCTATTTAATCATTTTCTTAAAAAGAAATATTTTTTTTATGTTCGACCTTCTCCGGTCTTCAACGGTCACCAGTTTCCAAAGACCTTCTTCTATATTGACCGATTATTGTCAACTGTATTCCTGATACAAACGTTTATTTACCCCCCCCCGAAAATAGTTAAATGAAATATCTTTATATCATTAAAATGTTCACCGCAGGAAACCGTTTTACTTGTTTTTAATGGGCTGATTATCAGATTTTTTTACAGTCCACCACATCTCTACCTATAAGTCAACATTTAATGAACATATTGATGTAGTCACAGCATGAAAGGAACTTAAAGAAATTTAAACAAGAGGGCCATGATGGCCCTGAGGTCGCTCACCTGTATATAGGCCCCCCCAACCCCCAATGTTGCAGGGCCAATTTAACCAAAGGGCTTTTATTTGCACAAACTTGGTAGACACCCATAAGAAGATGTTTCATGCTAAACATCTAAGCTCTAGCTCATTGGGCTTTTTAAAAGAAGATTTTTTTAAAGTTTTTACTATACACATATAGTTAAAAACAATGACACCCCTGGGGCCAGGCCAGTTTTGACCCCAGGGCTTTTATTTGAACAAACTTTGTAGACACTTACTAGAAGATGTTTCATGCTTAATATCTAAACTCTAGCTATTTGAGTTTTTTCAAAGAAGATTTTAAGTTTTTGCTATACACATATAAAGAAAATCAATGACCCCCGGGGCGGAGCCAATTTTGACCCCAGGTCTTTTATTTAAACAAACTTTGTAGACACTCACTAAAAGATGTTTCATGCTTAATATCATAACTCTAGCTATTTGGGTTTTTTCAAAGAAGATTTTTTAAGTTTTTGCTATACACATATAAGGAAAATCAATGACCCCCGGGGCGATGCCATTTTGACCCCAGGGCTTTTATTTGAACAAACTTGGTAGACACCTATAAGAACATGTTTGATGCTAAATATCTTAGCCATAGCTCTTTGAGTTCTTTAAAAGAAGATTTTTTAAGTTTTTACTATATGCATATAGGCAAAATCAATGACCCCCCGGGGCGGGGCCAATTTTGACCCCAGGGCTTTTATTTGAACAAACTTGGTAGACACTTATTAGAACATGTTTCATGATATATATCTTAGCTCTAACTCTTTTGGTTCTTTAAAAGAAGATTTTTTGAGTTTTTACTATATGCATATAGGGAAAATCAATGACCCCCTGGGACTGGGCCAATTTTGACCCCTGGGCTTTTATTTGAACAAACTTGGTCGACACCTATTAGAACATGTTTGATGCTCAATATCTAAGCCATAGCTCTTTGAGTTCTTTAAAAGAAGATTTTTTAAATTTTTACTATATGCATATTGGGAAAATCAATGACCGCCCGGGACGGGGCCAATTTTGACCCCAGGGCTTTTATTTGAAGAAACTTGGTAGACACCCATTAGAACATGTTTCATGCTAAATATCTTAGCTCCAGCTCTTTGGGTTTTTTAAAAGAAGATTTTTTAAGTTTTTACTATATGCATATCACACTCACTAGAAGATGTTTCATTGCAAATATCTAAGCTCTAGCTCTTATGGTTTTTTAAAAGAAGATATTTAAAGTTTTTTCTTTCGGTTGCCATGGCAACCAGAGTTCTGCATGGAATTAAATTCTTTGAACAATTTTTAAAGGTGACCACCAAAGGAACATTCCTGTGAAGTTTGGATGAAATTGGCTTAGTGGTTTATGAGGAGATGTCATTTAAAGAAAAAGTTTACGGACGACGGACGGACGGACGGACGCCGGACGAAAAGCGATCACAAAAGCTCACCCTGTCACTTTGTGACAGGTGAGCTAAAAATGTTGAGGGGATTGAAGTTATTACTTTAAGCTATAAAATGAAATAATGACGTTTAAAAGCCTCTTTGCCAGTGTTTAAAAGAGCATAAATTTAAGTAAAAGGTATATACAGGTTACATTCTATAACCATACATATTATAATATATAAAGTATGTATTAAGAGGTGCACATTTTCAATTCATTATTATTCTTAGAGCTGTCATTGATTCAGTGGAAAGCATATCAACGATATATCGATATCAAGTAACTAAAATCAATGATACACCGATATATCGATAATATCCTATACTCACTTGTCTGTCATTCACTTTCATACCTGTTTCAATGATTTCAGTCAAAAACATGGTCTGTACAGTGTCTTGTCCACTGCATGATTTTTTCTAGACAATATTTTTTGTCACCATTGCTATGAAATAATTCAACTATATAACAAAAGCATCACATTTGATATAAATAATTGTTTCTGCATATATTTTGGGTGAATTTTTATAATTTCTAGACATTTAATTTATAAGTCAAAAGTATCGATTTTTTAAAATGTGTATCGATTATTGATCGACAAAAAAATATCAACGATACATCGATATTGTCGATATCGATGACAGCTCTAATTATTCTTATTCATTGTTTCAGGTGACTGGATCATCTTATTTGTTTTCTTGTATTGAAGAACACAGTCTGACAGTGAAAGTATACCAGATTTGACAGGAACAGATGTGGTGAAGCTTTTACATTAGAATTTTTTTCACATATTTCCTTCTTGATTTAAACCTAATATGGTAATTGACAATGATAAGCAACATTAAATTTCATTTAAAAGATTTGTTCTCTTTCCCTGACTTTTTTTATCAGAGGCACTCTGATTTATAGTATGCTTGGAAAGTAGAACTAATAAAACGATTTAAAACATGTCTCTCACACATGTTGGTTTTAAACATATTTTAAAAACATTGTGAACAAGAGATTAAATTGCACCACAATTTTAATAATTACATGTATCAAACTAGAATATTAATACACAATACCATCTTTAATATCAATGCATTGGCACTTTTAAAAAGTCTTTTTTTTTTTTTAAAAACTTGCTACAGACATTAACAAAAACAATATAATGTATAAGCAAAAGTATTTGCACATGTAAATAGCACTAAAATGTATAAAAAGTATTAGGTAATATTAATTGAGTGGACTTAATTGCAAACTTTTACTTCATTGCATGTATTACAAATATGTATACAGAAACAGTGTCATTAATGCCCAACCATTTTGATATTACAACAACAATATGTGTAAAATAGTTTAAATTAGTGTAATTTGGCCATCTTGCTCTGTAAGATAATCTGTCCTTTAATCTTGGAGTTGGCAAGCTTTATACCAAACATTGATCCCATTTTTATTTAAAGTAATTCTGATTTATACAGTAAAAGCGATATTGTTTGATTTAGTCTGCAAAAGGAAACAAATTATGATTTTAAAGACAGTGATGAAAACTTGCATACCTAAAAGATTTAAATTGGGTTTAAACTGACAAGAAAACAAACTGTGTAATACATTCATTATAACAATTAGGCAAGTAATTTTTCTCTCTATAAATCAATATGATTGGCCAATACATGCATCTTGGTAGGTGGAGTCAAGTGACAACTTTAACTGAAATTGAAAAATGTTTTTCATGTCAGGAATTCATCTTTATTATGTCAGTATTTTCTCTCGTGTTGTTTGACATAAATGAATCAGAATGCCAGAAGACAGTGTTATGGTAATTTTCAAATTACTGTATGATTGTAGCTGGATTTATCCATCTTACAAATGGACCCACCTTCACAGGCAGATACTTCTAGCTTTATTGATGCAGGCACACCAACTGTACAGTTTAGAGAACAATCATTGGTAAATTTCTAGCTATAATAATTCCCTTTTTAAAGTACAAAATATCGTCACCAACTTATATTGCATTATTATGAAATATCATTGTAAAATTATATAATTTTTTATACATGTATATATATATATTGTAGTTAGATATGCCCAGTATTATAACCTAATGTTAATGAGAGTCAGATTGAAAAATTGAGCAGTATTATAAAAGATTTTAACTTAATGTACATGTTCTTTTTACAGACCTTAGATGATACATTTGCTACAACAGCATGTACAGGCCCTACATGGAGATCCACTTGTTTAAGTTTACGCAGAAATTCAGAAGCTACAGCTCCTAACCCTGACAGCAGTTATTCAACAATGGTGACAATGGTGTATGTATCAACATATATCAAGCAAAGTATTTGTACCTCTGAAGATAAAAATAACAGTCTGTCTATACCCAGACTTCATTTTATTTTATTTATGATACCTACATGTATCAGTTATTGTCAAAAGTATTACATAAGTCATTGGCCTAAAACTTGTATAATCATTGGAATAATGTTCAAAATCTTAAAAAATAGTGACACAACAATCAGGATCAAAACTTAAAGTCCAAAACATTCTTAGTAATAACACAAATGATCTTTTAGTGGAATGCATCTTCTCATTATATGTCATTAAATTGAAATTTGTAGTTTTTTCTCTGTTGCATAAATATTGTTTAGGAATGCTTTTAAATTATTTATTATCATTTAGAATCAATTGACTGGCAATTTTCAACATTGCTATTTTATGTTTATTATGCTTTCTTAATAAATTCAATTTTTGTGTTGCCTTGAAAAAGTGGACATATAGGGGTTACTTTTGACGGCGGAGTCAGCATCAGCGTTCCCTTTACGCTTGTCCGAAGCTCAGTCACTACAAGTTGGATTGACTCCAAACTTGGTATGCATGCTTCTACAAATGGCCCAAAGTGCAGTGCACAAGAATCATTACCTTGCACTTCTTATTTTTTTGAGTTATTTAATTTTTGAGTTATTGCCCTTTGTAAATGTTCATATTTTGTTTTTGTCCAGGCCATTTCTCCTAAACTATAAAAGCTATGGACTTGAAACTTTCTCATTGAGAAGAAGTGCATTGCACAAAAACTTGTATTCTGCACTTCATAATTTTTGAGTTATTGCCCTTACTTAATTTTCATACTTACATGTAATAGGCTTGCCACTAAAGTTAAAGGTACATGTACATTGCAAGAGCAGTGTTTATAAATAACCTATATTTAAGAAGAAAATGCCTAACTGACAGCTATATTTTTGACAAGGCGACACATCCGACTCACTGAGTTCTAGTTTAAATGTATAAAAATATGTTCCAAATTATACAATATCCTAAGTTCTTGCGCAAGTTTGTTATTATTGGTACCTTGTTGTTTCGCTGAATAAATGCAATTCCTTACTATATCTACTTCTGAGAATTAAACCATTTCTAAATCTTCAAGTTAGGAAAATGTTCTTTAATGCATACATTCTTCCTCATTTAGACTATTGTTGCACTATTTGGGGTAATTGCAGTAAGGAACTCTTAAACGACATGTATAAATTTCAAAAACGTGCAGCAAGAATAATACTTGATAAAGATTTTGATGCGCCTACTGATGAGTTATTTTCTGAATTGAACTGGATGAAATTCTCTGATAGAGTGAATTATAAAAAGGCCATTTTAGTATACAAGTCCCTAAACAATCTTCTCCCTGATTATATGCAAAATCTTTTTACAAATACAGAAAATAAATCATTAAGATCATATGAACAAAAACTTCTTTTAGTCCCCAAACCAAGAATTTTCTGCAGAAAATCCCTATCATAGTCAGGCTCAAAATTTTGGAACTCCCTCCCTTTAAACATAAGAAATTCTTTCAACTTACAAACATTCAAAACAAATTATCTTAAATGGTGGTTCTCTGGTGGGCACCAAATAATCTAGCTATGTTTTCATATCATATATACATGTATGTCTCATAAAATGTACAATTTCATACTTTCAAATGTTTGTATTCATTTTCTTATTGCATTTTTCAATTACTCAACTTTTCTTTGTTGTATAACTTGTATACATTAAGTTTTCTTTCTTTGTTTATATAAATCTTTGTTTGTAACTGTATATATGTACATTTTTGATAGAGGCTCATAGGGAAGACTGGGCTTGCCTAACTATGTTGCCTCTTTAAATAAAGTCTTTATTATTATTATTATTATTGTTACAGGTGTCTAAGCAATGACACCATAGAGATAAAAGACAGCAATGATGAGGCAATAGAGCTGAGTTAGAATCTACTCCACAGATGGAACACAGTAATGTAAGGTATTATCATATATGTAACTAAAACTTATATATTATGGAATTTCCCATTGAAATTGCTCGGCTGTAAAGGAATTGCTCCGCTATGGTAATTTGATGCTCCATTCAATTGAGGTTGGTTTATCTTTAAGCTGTGGCCGTTTATTATGAAAAAGTCATTTTTTTAATGAAGCTTTCCATTTTTTAGCCACATTTTGCAATTGGTTGTTCCATCATTATGAAACATCCAATCCGTGTATAAAATGATAAATAGAGGATATTTGTTTGTTTTGCATGTAAGATTGAAATATAATTTCACTGAGTGAACACCAGATGCAATATTTTCACGAGTGGCGTAGCCACGAGTGAAAATATTATAGCTGGTGTTCACGAATGAAATATATTTCAATCTTATATGTAAAACAAATAAATTTTCTTTTTATTTCATGCGTTTTAATTAATTTTAAGTATTTTTTACTGATTTTGCCGCGTAACGTCGCGCATTCTCCCTTGTGACGTCATCACATCATGACGTCACATCATCAATTTTGAAAAATAGTTCTGTTAAATTTCTCTAATTTTGTTACATTTTCAACATGATGTATGGTGACATCTACTGTCTTTTCCTAAAGAAGCAAAATTTACGCATGACGGCATTTATTTCTGCCTGTTATTCCATTTAGTTATGATTTTCTTTTCATCCGCATTCAGATATAGTCCGGCTACAGTGAAAATTATATTTTATAAATTTCACTAGTGGTTTATCAGAATATAATCATCTGATATATTACAATAAAACACTCGAAAGCATGAAATAAAGAGGAAACAACGGTTACCAAATTTTCTTTTAAATAGGCATATGTTTAGTCATGAATAGCATCAATACTAATGTACTATATTGATTTGTGTTTAGTAAAAATATAACAAAATGATTTACATTATGATTTGAGCACTGCCTTTTTATTTTGTGTTTTTGTGTAACGTTCCTTTAGCCATATTTTAATGAAACTTTTTTACAGAGCCACATTATGTGAGATTGGTAAAGATCCTATAACCTATAAATTTGATATCAGTTAACAGTAAAAATATCAATTTGAATATGTTTTTGTGTAGAGGTTGTATTATTTTGGAGATAAAAATATTTCCTCGAAGTTTCTTTCATGCCTTTGTGATTATAATTGAAGTTACCATTCAAGACTGCATTATAGACTGTAACAGCTATGTCATGTATATTGAAAGAAATCTTTCTTGTGGTAAATTCCAACATTATATAGGCTTTTTTTTTCTTTTTAGCTCACCTGTCACAAAGTGACAGGGTGAGCTTTTGTGATCGCTTTTCATCCGGCGTCCGTCCATCGTCCATCCGTCCGTCGTCCGTAAACTTTTACTTTAAATGACATCTCCTCATAAATCACTAAGCCAATTTCATCCAAACTTCACATGAATGTTCCTTTGGTGGTCATCTTTGAAAATTGTTCAAAGAATTTAATTCCATTTAGAACTTTGGTTGCCATGGCAACCAAAAGAAAAATTTTAGATATCTTTTTCTAAAATATCCAAAGAGCTAGAGCTTAGATATTTGGCATGAAACATCTTCTAGTGAGTGTCTACAAAGTTTGTTCAAATAAAAGCCCTGGGGTCATAATTGGCCCCGCCCCGGTGACATTGATTTTCCTTATATGTGTATAGCAAAAACTTAAAAATCTTCTTTGAAAAAACCTGAATAGCTAGAGTTTAGATATTAAGCTTGAAACATCTTCTAGTTAGTGTCTACCAAGTTTGTTGTAATAAAAGTCCTGGTGTGAAGATTTGCCCCGCCCCAGGGGGTCATTGATTTTCGCTATATGCATATAGTAAAAACTTAAAAAATCTTCTTTTAAAGAACCCAAAGACCTAGAGCTAAGATATTTAGCATGAAACATGTTCTAATGGATGTCTACCAGGTTTATTCAAATAAGAGCCCTGGGGTCAAAATTGGCCCCGCCCCGGGGGTCATTGATTTTTCTTATATGTGTTTAGCAAAACCTTAAAAAATCTTCTTGTAAAGAACCCAAAGAGCTATAGCTAAGATATTTAGCATGAGACATCCTCTAATGGGTGTCTACCAAGTTTATTCAAATAAAAGCCCTGGGGTCAAAATTGGCCCCGCCCAAGGGGGTCATTGATTTTCCCTATATGCATATAGTAAAAACTTAAAAAATCTTCTTGTAAAGAACCCAAAGAGCTAAAGCTAAGATATTTAGCATGAAACATGTTCTAATAGATGTCTACCTAGTTTGTTCAAATAAGAGCCCTGGGGTCAAAATTGGCCCTGCCCCGGGGGTCATTGATTTTTATGCCCCCGCCATATAATGGCAGGGGCATATAGTGTTACCCTGTTCCGTCATTCCGTCATTCCGTCCTTCCGTCCTTCCGTCATCATCAGTTTCCGTTCATTATCTTAATAACCCTTGCACATATTGAACTCAAATTTGACATATGGATATGTCATGAGAAAATACAGGTCAAGTTCGAAATTGGTCATGGTTCGATGATTTTTGGCAGAGTTATGCCCCTTTTACATTGAAAATAATATGAAATTTTCAGTTTCCGTTCATTATCTCCCCAACGGTACAACACATTCAACTCAAACTTGACATATGGATATGTCATGAGAAAATACAGGTCAAGTTCGAAATTGGTCATGGTTAGATGATTTTTGGCAGAGTTATGCCCCTTTTACTTTGAAAATAATATGAAATTTTCAGTTTCCGTTCATTATCTCCCTAACGGTACAACACATTCAACTCAAACTTGACATATTGATATGTCATGAGAAAATACAGGTCAAGTTCAAATTTGGTCATGGTTCAATGATTTTTGGCAGAGTTATGCCCCTTTTACTTTGAAAATAATATGAAATTTTCAGTTTCCATTCATTAACTCCCCAATGGTACAACACATTCAATTTAAACTTGACATATGGATACGTCAAAGGAATGCGCAGGTCAAGTTCAAATTTGGTCATGGTTCAATGATTTTTGGCAGAGTTATGCCCCTTTTACTTTGAAAATAATATGAAATTTTCAGTTTCCATTCATTAACTCCCCAATGGTACAACACATTCAACTCAAACTTGACATATGGATACGTCAAAGGAATGCGCAGGTCAAGTTCAAATTTGGTCATGGTTCAATGATTTTTGGCAGAGTTATGCCCCTTTCACTTTGAAAATAATATGAAATTTTCAGTTTCCGTTCATTATCTCCCCAATCGTACAACACATTTAGCTCAAAATTGACATATCGATACGTCAAAGGAATGCGCAGGTCAAGTTCAAATTTGGTCATGGTTCGATGATTTTTGGCAGAGTTATGCCCCTTTTACTTTGAAAATAATATGAAATTTTCAGTTTCTGTTTATTATCTCCCCAACAGTATTAAACATTCAACTCAAATTTGACATATTGATACGTCAAAGGAATGCGCAGGTCAATTTCAAATTTGGTCATGGTTCGATGATTTTTGGCAGAGTTATGCCCCTTTCACTTTAAAAAATAATATTAAATTTTCAGTTTCCGTTCATTATCTCCCCAACAATATTACACATTCAACTCAAATTTGACATATGGATATGTTTTTGGAATGCCCAGGTCAAGTTCGAATCTGGTCATGGTTCAATGATTTTTGGCAGAGTAATGCCCCTTTCACTTTGAAAATGATATGAAATTTACAGTTTCTGTTCATTATCAACCCAACAGTGTTACATATTCAACTCAAAATTGACATATGGATTTGTCAAAGGAATGCGCAGGTCAAGTTGGAATTTGGTCATGGTTCGATGATTTTTTGGCAGAGTTATGTCCCTTTCACTTTGAAAATAATATAGATACATCTTAGGAATAAGCAGTTTAAGTTTGAATTTGGTCGTGGTTCAATGATTTTAGACAAACTTATCTTTCCTGAATGTTGGAAAAATTTTGAACTTTCAGTTTCAGCAGTCATACTTTTGTTGAAATGTCTATAGCCATTATGTTGGCTACAAATATGCAATATGCTATTTTTAAAAGGTTAAGACTGAATAATTTCAGTGCCTTGAACATTGTATAAAAATGGTTAAGACTGAATAATTTCAGTGCCTTGAACATTGTATAAAAATGGTTTGTGTTAACATTGAAAAGTGTTAAGGGCTTTGAACTTAGAATGAAAAAAATAATTTGTGCAAACAAATTTGGAACTAAATATTATAACATTTGAAATTTTGGCTGCATGCGGGGGCATCCGTGGCATGATGACACATTTCTAGTTCTTATATGTGTATGACAAAAACTTAAAAATCTTCTTTGAAAAAAACAAATAGCTAGAGTTTAGATACTAAGCTTGAAACATCTTCTAGTGAGTGTCTACCAAGTTTGTTGTAATAAAAGCCCTGGGGTCAAAATTGGCCCATTCCGGGGTCATTCATTTTCCTTATATGTGTAAAGCAAAAACTTAAAAATCTTCTTTGAAAAAACCTGAATAGCTAGAGTTTAGATATTAAGCATGAAACATTTTCTAGTAAATGTCTACAAATATTGTTCAAATAAAGCCCTTGGGTCAAAACTGGCCCTGCCCCAGGTGTGTCATTGTTTTTAACTATATGTGTAAAGAAAAAACTTGACCAGCTAAACCTTAGATGTTTAGCATGAAACATCTTCTAATGGGTGTCTACCAAGTTTGTTCAAATAAAAGCCCTGGGGTTTAAACTGGCCCCGCTCCGGGGGCCTATATACAGGTGAGCGACTTCAGGGCCATCATGGCCCTCTTGTTAAGTTTTGAGCACAGTTACTTATTTTGTTTCAGATTAGATAATTGTGACATGAATGTGGGGCATAACGTCCAAGAATTCCAAGGAAAATATATTCAAAGTGACCTAAGATCAACTTATATAGTTTCCCACAGAAATCCACTTGAGTCTGCAATAAGAGCTCTTCAGAGAAAGACTCCAGAAGACCTCAAATGCAGGTTATTTGTAAAGTTTACAGGTGAAATGGGGCAGGACTTCGGTGGTCCCAGATGTGAGTTTTTTAGCTCGACTTTTCTATGAAAAGGGGAGCTATCCTACTCGCCCCGGCGTCGGCGTCGGCGTTGGCATCACACCTTGGTTAAGTTTTTCGTACCACCCCACTTTATTTCAGAAGTATTACAAGTATGGCTTTGAAACTTACCATACTTGTTCACCATCATAACCTCCATCTACAGACAAGAGTACATAACTCTGTCAAGGTTTTTGACAGAATTATGGCCCTTTTTTGACTTAGAAAGTGTATTGAGCTTGGTTAAGTTTTTTGTACCACCTCACTTTATTTCAAAAACCATTGGAGGTATTGCTTTGAAACTGACCATACTTGTTTACCATCACGACCTTCATCAACAGACAAGAGGACATAACTCTGTCAAGGTTTTTGACAGAATTATGCCCCTTTTTGACTTAGAAAATCATTGAATATGGGTAAAATCCACTTATTGCCTTAACCCTTTGAGATATTGCTTTGAAACTTTTAATGCTATTTCACATCATTACCCCATCTGTACGCAAGAGAAGGTAACTCTGTCAAGGATTTGTTTTAAAAATTAAGGCCTTTTATCGACTTAGAATCTTGGTTAAGTTTTTAGTACCAGTCCACTTTTTGACTGAACTGTTTGAGATATTAATTTGAAAGTTGGAATACTTGTTTACAATCATGATTCCCAAACATGTCCAGGAGAAGGTAATTCTGTCAAAGATTTTATTTGAATTATGGCCCTTAACTGTCAATGTTTTGTATTATAGGCAAGCACTAAAAAACTTAAAAAATCTAAAAAAATTCATTCCTATCCACTTGTTCACTTTACCATAAATTATGTCATATAAACATTGCTGTAATATTCAAGGGTATCAAACAACTAGTTTCACTTTAAAAATACAGAGATTCTTGTATTGCCTTTTACTGCAAAAACTTTTTTTATTGGCAAGCAATAAAAAAGTCGAGCGCGCTGTCTTACGGACAGCTCTTGTTAGGTAGGTGATCTATATGTTTTCATGTACAAAACAGTTTTCATTCCTCAACCTCTTTGGAGGACTTAACTGTTAGCATTACTGACTGCTTATCTCACCAGTGTTGTGTTCTTAGACTCCTTTGTGTCCTGTCTAATTATATAAAATACTTTCTCTGCATAAAGTATGAAACTTAAATGGGGCTTCAGTGGCCGAGTGGTTAAGGTCGTTGACTTCAAACCACTTGCCCCTCAATGCTGTGGGTTCAAAGCCCGACAGGGACTTTGGATTCTTTCATGTGAGGAAGCTATCCAGCTAGCTTACGGAACGTCGGTGGTTTTTACTCAGGTGCCCGTTCGTGCCTGAAATAATGCACGGAAGGGCACCTGAGGTCTTCCTCCACCAGTAAAGCTGGAACGTCGCGATATGACCTATACTGTGTCGATGTGAATTTTCTTCATTGGAATTTGACACAAATACATTGGGGATCAGCTGAAGCTGATTAATCACAAAATATTTTTTTATACTTCTGTCACAAGTTATTCCAAAAATATAGTTTATACATCCAAAGAACTTTCTAAGAAAAATTTAAAGCATGTGAATGTGTTTATTTTATTGAAAAAAGTGCACAGGTATAGCCTTTTATATAACAAAAATTTGCATATTTTCAATTTTGTTAAGTATATCACTGTAAAAGTATAAATGTTTATACTGCATAAATAATAATGTTGATTTACCCTTTGAATACATGCCTACTTTATATAACGCCCATTCTCAATAAAATAAAGCATTTGAGGTTGAAAAATATTAAAAATTTGATGTTGTCATTGTGTCATTTTTTATTGTTGAAGTATAAGTTCAGGGTATTTTGCAAGTTTGCCAGAAATATTTTGAACAAGAAACTATAATATAACAGGATGGCATTTATTTCGGTAATGACACTGTATTTCTCCGGTAACTTAGATTTCAGATCTAATAATGTAACATATTGGCTGCATATTAATAACAAATGTCTGTAAAATATATCAAAATCTGTAAATTCTCTATCTAGAGGGACTTTCTAACCCAGGAAAATTCAAGGAAGTTGGGTACCTTGCTTATTTTCAGTTAATTTCTTCAAAGTTAAATATTCGTAGAAAGCAAAAATAGTCGATTTTGAAAATGAATATTTTATGTCTTCATTCAAAGGATATATATCATATATAATATATGAGAGGTCAAATGCATACACAAATGTTGTATTAGCAATTTTTTGCAAAACATTCAACTTTCCACTTTCTTAATATTTGGAAAAATTTATTGATAAGCAGTTCTATATTTATCCCCATATAGGATGTCACATATGTTTCATTTTATTCAAATGCAAGTAAAGGTCGAGAAAACAATTTCATTTTTTGCAAAATAATTTATATTTATGGATATTATTTTAACATTATTATAATTATATAGAATGAAATATGGCCAGTAAGCTCTTTGCAGAAAGGAATTAGTTGTTGCTGAGAACATCAATATCTTGTAATATATTTTTAACATATCTGCTGGTACATCTTCATATTATTAACATATCTTTCCTTTGTATAACACTTTTGTATCTTCTTACATCTAATACAAGGTAACCGTTACAAACAGTCATGCTAATCCCAACTTTATCTTTAATTTTCAAACATTGTTGAATTGTAAGTTGGAGTAACGTATGTTTCACACTCGCTTATTTATGAACTTTATCACGGAAATGTACATCATTCTATTGTCATAAAAATGCGATTTTCTGTTTTTATATATGTATGTGTAAACAATATAAAGTCTGTTTGATAAAAGTAACGTTGGTTTCACTGTGGTTACTTAAACAAGTTAAAACTCGAACAAAGTTAACAAAATTTACTTACTAATGTCAAATAGAAGTTAATGTTGCTGTTATACGTGCTTTCTGACTTCAATTTCCCTTTTGATAAACTTACTTTAAAAAGTTGATAACGTATGTTTCTGTAACGTATGTTTCATTTTTACATTGAAAGTGGGTTAAAAAAGTACGCAAGACCGTTTAACCAGCAATAATTTGTGGTTAATATATCAGAGTTACACACATGTCAATTTTCTTTCTTGTTTGGATTCCTCTTTGAATGTTTCTTTTTAAAATGCTGTTGAAAAGATTTGAATAAAAAATGAAAATTTCCAAAAATAGAATGATATTTGAGAGGTTGCAAGATTATTTTTACTTATAATTATATATATGCTTTATTATTAAGCATGTATTAATTCAATTAAGTAATTTCGGTTTCACTTCTTATTGTTTTAGGTTTGTCACTATTTATTTCCATTATATCAATGAGATTTTAACAGTAAAATATATTTTTTACCAATAATCAAAGTTCATATACACACAGCAATGACTAATTGCACATGTTTTGTTTATTCTGGAACTTATTTTTCTGAAACACAATTTCAAAATTGAAAATTTTAGGTGGCGACAGTAACGTATGTTACATTTTAGGGCATTAATGGTACTTGTAAAAGAAAAATAACAGGTAGAAATGTAAAACTGAGAAAGTCCCTATTAAACAAAGTGGCAGCCACCTTTCTAACGACATTTTGACCTCAAGAAAAACCTTCATATAAGAGTTACCCAGTGGAACATCAAATGCTGTGTTTTATTGAGAATGAACGATAAGTGTTTTCAGGGACATTTATGTTGAGTTTTTTAACACATGTATCAATGACATAATGCTAATTATTCATTTATTTACAAATTAAAAGAATATACATATTTATACCATATATATTCCTTTTCTTAATTTTCTCAGATATATATCAGGCAGATAGGCCTTAAGAATTACTTCTATGTGTAACTTCTCCTACATTTCTCATCCGAATTTGACCAACTTTCCACAGAAGCTTTCTCATTAAGTGCCTAATGTGCATAGTGTTGTTGTTTTGCAATTCAAAAAATCTTTGGCTGCATAACGGCCCTTTGCTTAAAAAACCCCCAGATAAATACATGTACAAGTTCTATGATATTTCTCAGGTGATTTTGACAAAACTTTCACAGAAGTTTTGTTATCGAGGGTCCTGGTGCATATTGTCAGTATTTAATGATTTAAATTTTTTGGGCAGAATCATGACCCTTTTTTCAATTAGAGAAATACACTTCTGTTCTTTAAAAAATTTCATTAAACTTGAAAAGAAGCATCATCACCAAGAGTGCTTGCACATATTGTCCGTGTTTTGCAAATATTTTGGCAGAATTATGCCCTCTTTGTTACATAAAATTACTCTTATGTTTGCATTTCTTGTTTGATTCTAGAAGCTACTCATGCTATTATACTAGATTGAAATTTTATACATATGTATAAAACAAACAAAATGACAAAAGCAACATAATTTACTACTAGAATAGATAAGAATTATGAATAAAATTGAATGTTCTAAAGTATGTAATAATATGCATCTAATAATAATTACATAAAGTTAGCATTTTAGACCGGTAGGAACTTGAAAGATACAAAGAAATATTCATCTATAGATTATAAATGTACAAACAAATTGAAAGGCCATAAATCCCTCTAAACTTTTTTGAATTGCAAAATGCTGACAATATGTCCAAGGGCACTAGATGATGATGTGACAATATGTCCCAGGGCACTAGATGATGATGTGACAATATGTCCCAGGGCACTAGATGATGATGTGACAATATGTCCCAGGGCACTAGATGATGATGTGACAATATGTCCCATGGCACTAGATGATGATGCTGACAATATGTCCCACGGCACTAGATGATGATGCTGAAATGTTAAGTTGAAAACATTATTTCATAATGTTGCAGCATTTCTTGTTACAATATATATCCAGGACAGGCAATGGATATAGATTTATTATAAGTATAAGGTTTTCATACAAACATTTATCAGATAGGTTAACATTCTTTGCAGACTGGCTTTAGCAGAGCTTGCCACATCAAAATTCTTCTAAGGACCAGAATATTCAAAGGTATTGACACACAATCTGCAACTGGTCGAGAAGGATCATTACAGACTTGTCGGTGGATTGTTAGCTCTTTCTCTGATAAAGGACGGACCTGGGATCCATTGCCTTAATAAGCAACTATTTCCTCTTATGGACAAGAAGCTGAATCAACACCAATTGAGCAAATCATGGATCCTGAATTTCTGCAATGTTTGGAAATGGTAATTACATTGATAGGACTTTTTTAGACCTTTATCTACACTGCCATGCAAAGTGAAAGAGGGCTATTAGTATATAGGAATCACTTTGTCATCATATCCCAGTTGTTTATAATATCTGCTTAAAGAATAGTTTTTGTGACACTATTTGTAGGTATTTGACCTAGCAAGGAACTAAAAAGACAGGCCAGTACTTTTCTCAGTTTAAACCAGTAAAAGCCATTTTCTATAACTGCTTCACCAGTTACACAAATAGTTGTAGGCAATATAGCTAAGTTAAAAATCAGCCATATGATTAAAAGTATCTTATTGGCTGCTGCAAGGGTTTGATTCTCTTGTTTCATAGACCGACATACTATCTTTTAGCCACAGAAAGCTTGCTATTTGGTTGTAATCTTTTGTATATTGAAGAGCTAATGACAAACATTATATATGTTTATAAACCCATGCAGAGGAAAACTCTTAAGGACATTAATATTTGGTTGTTGTGTTGCTGACACGGATTGCTGTAGAAAGATTACCTCTATTGTTAAGTTGTAATTGAAATTTTTGTTGTACAGAAGTAATGTTTGTACAGAAGTCCACTCTGCTGAGACTGCACTGTTCTTTAGGTTTTACAAAGTTGAAATTGAAATAATTTGCAGTAATTAAAATATCATGACACAAGTTAAAAATATATGACACAAAGATATAGCTGTGTTTAAAATCACCTATTTATCATTGTTTGATCATAGCTTTTGTGAAATCATTTAATGTTTTTTTTATCAATTGATATTGGTGTGTAATTTTTTTGTACCTTGATTTATTTTTCAGTTGGAAACAGTCAACACAGACCAACAGAAAGATCAGTTCTTGTCAAGATATGGTGACTGGCTTATGGACAAGAGTATAAATATTTACAGGTTCCAGATAAAAGAAAAGGAATCTGTAAAACATATGCTTATAAAGTATTATGTCTTATACAGGTAATTTATTAATCCCTTTCCACATAGTGTGGAAGGGATTATAGGAATGGCCTCCATCTGTCAGTCCGTCTGCCCTTCCCGGGCCATCTAACTGTAAACTGAACAAAAGACTTCATCCGTAACAATAGATTAAGGGGCCATGGCCCTCTGTTCAATCAAAAGGAAATAACATAAGAAATGGCCCATTAGTCCAATTTGGCGGAGCATCTGTCTGTCCGTTCGTAACAATTTTGTGTCTGCTCCATCACTTTTAAATCGCTGAAATTTTTTTTAAATAACATGCCACAAGTGATCACCATTATGAGACAATGTGCAAAGCGCAATAATTGGGTTACTACCCTCAAGGTCAAGGTCAAACTTAAAGGTCAAGTGTTAAAAGTTTACATTTTGTGTCCGCTCCATAACATTTAAACTGCTGCAATTTTTTCAGATCACTTGGCAGAAATGATCACCAGTATGACATGAAGTGTAGAAACCAACATCCAGGTTGCTACCCCCAAGGTGAAGGTTAAATGTTCTCCATAACTTTTCGACTTTATGGAAGTTTTTAAATATCTTTGCACAAATAATTACAATCATGAGACTATGTGCCTACAATATGCATGGCACAACATCAAGGTCATGATTGGTTAATGGTCAAGAAGAACACATTCATGTCTGCTGCGGAAAGGGATTTAGCTGTCCTTCAGATTGCCTTGTTAATATTTATGTTGAAAACTCATGTATAATAAATGAATATTGGAAAAGGAGGAATATTGTTTTTGCAGTTTGATGTCAAGTCTGTTGGTTGAAAGGTTGACCAGCTGAATTCCCCTTGTTAACTAGAAAACTAATTTGTCCACAGTCTTCAAACATAACAGGATGACCATCCTCCCCCCTCATTGAGTAGATAAGCCTAATGTTTTCAGGCACTCATGCCTGAACCATTTCTGCCCAATTACTTGAGAAGCATTTTACCTATAGCATTCAAAAGTTATAAGATGTTGACTCTTATTAAGTACATCTCCCCTATTGTTTTTGGGCAATTATGCATGATGGTCAAGGTCACAGTGAACCATTCCAGCTCAATAACTAGAGAACCACTTGGCTCACAGTCTTTACACTTCACAGGATGATCACTCTTATTGCTAATGATGAATCTTTTTGTTTTTGGGCACTCACACAGAAGGTTAGTCATAATGACCTTAAATGTGAAAACTGTTTCTGCTTAAAATACTGAGAACAATTTGACACCTTACATGACATTCTTACTGTACATTTTTCTGGGGACAACAGTATTCAACAAGTTTTATAAGATTATTAATATAATTAATGTTTTTATGCGATTTCTTCATATTTTTTTGTATGATTTATAAAATGAAATAAAATTTAAAAGTACAGTTAAAATTTAATTATTTATTAACATGTCTTTCAGCATTGGCTGATGGTTTAACTGTCCAAATATCTCATTGGTTTCCTTGGGAGACATACTTGAAATGCTCAAAGTATAGGTAGTGAAATATTTTGTTATGAATACTGTTTTAAATTATTGTTTGATTTTTGTCTCTTGTGTGTAAATTGCATGATAGAATCAGACTGCAGAAATAGTTTATCCATGTACTGTTATTTACAAGGGATTAAAGATACTAGGTGAATATAATTAAAGCTAATGTGTCCCTGGAACATAATAAAACACCCATGTATGGTTCCTGTGTGTCCTTATCAATAATTTTGTATCTTATTGCGTTTGAAATGACTCTAATTGTTGTGAACTTTTACTTGTCTGGAAAAAAGAAAAGCGTGTACTTTTTTATTTATTTGTGAACACTTACCATTAGATAATAATATTCTCTGGGACTTTTGGAATGGTCACTTATTCTCACTACACATTAAAGATTGCAGAAAGGGGGCATATGTTGCATTTGTATGTTAATTGTTAAAAGCTCTTCTTGTACTTTATTCACAGTATATAAACGATTTGAACCCCAACCGGATCTTGTGAGAAGATCTCAGCATCTAAACGTACAACCAGGCAGAATGACACATTAAACTATTAAAGATCGGATTGAATTTAATGTGTTACGGTATGTTAACATTTGAATCATATCGAGAAATACTTTATCTTTACTTATATATACATCCATAACTTTCTTCGTAAAATATATGCGCATAAAACGCTGTGCTCTTCGCTTCATGTTTTGTTTATGTCAACACAGGCTGATTACACAAGCAAATTTATGCCTAAAATTGTTTTACTTCACTATAACTCATATCTGAATCTTAACTTTATGGTCTTTACCTCATGTTACCGGACAGACACTTGTGAAAATATCTTTGAATAATGATAAAACATAGTAAATAATAGAGGCGACATTTCTGATAACTGTACCCGTCTTGCTAAAACAATTTTAATGATCTGTACCCTACTTGTGTTTTCACTGAACCATTACTTGCGAGTGACTTTTGATGATTTTTATTGTGTTTTTGTCATATGTTCCAAATTTTATTGCGCAGAATATGAAGTTATTGTGTCACAAGAGCATGGAACATGTTTTAGATCTATGTAAGTAACTAAAGAGCTTCGTCATGTTTCCACTGTCTATGAAAATACCAGCATGAAGTGGCTCACGTTATACGAATCAGAATGTCAATTATTTCTTGATAGGAATAATTAACTAACAAACCTCATCTTCACTTACCATTCATTTTTCTTTGGAAATATATAAAGCTAAAATATTACACATATACTATAAATTTCTTATATTTAGTTCAGCGGCATTGTTGTTAGTTATGACTGACCGTTATATAACGTCACGTATCAATAAACCTCGAATATCATTACAAGATTTTTTGCAGATAACTTATTTCAACATATTGACAGCTTTGCACCTACCGTTAATTTCATTCTGCTTTTTAAAACACGGTTTTATATTCTCAGAAATTCATTGGCTTTCTATTTCTGACATGTACAACTTACATTCTTGTACATGTATATCTGTGAATTATTTATTGTTTATGGGAAGTAAATTATTAAATTTAAAGGAGTTATGGCAAAATGAAAACTTATTTTGATATTCAACTGTTCACTCACTATATACCCTTGGATGGGCATAATGTCACTTTAAACCAATTCTCGGTAAATACCATAGATCCCACCTTATATGATAAAATTTAATTACAATCATTTATATTTTCTCGCAATAATTGATACAAAATCGCAATAAACGTAAACGTTTTCTCCAACAAATCTTAAAAAATACTCACAAGTCATGGTACAGATAAAATTCGTAAACTCACAAGTAGGGTTCACAATCACCAGCAAGTAACGTTCAGTTAACGGAAATGACCTCCTTGGTTAAACTCTTAAATTTATGTTCAAGATATAGCAATATGTTATGCATATGACTAAATTATCGTTTGTTATTGATTACTTTAGTAGTTCCATATCACAATTCAATGTTTATTTAAATCAACCTTGGAATAAGACAGATTTTTGTTCGTGTTCAGTGTTGATCGTCACGTATTAATAAACCTCGAATATCATTACAAGATTTTTTGCAGATAACTTATTTCAACATATTGACAGCTTTGCACCTACCGTTAATTTCATTCTGCTTTTTAATACACGGTTTTATATTCTCAGAAATTCATTGGCTTTCTATTTCTGACATGTACAACTTACATTCTTGTACATGTATATCTGTGAATTATTTATTGTTTATGGGAAGTAAATTATTAAATTTAAAGGAGTTATGGCAAAATGAAAACTTATTTTGATATTCAACTGTTCACTCACTATATACCCTTGGATGGGCATAATGTCACTTTAAACCAATTCTCGGTAAATACCATAGATCCCACCTTATATGATAAAATTTAATTACAATCATTTATATTTTCTCGCAATAATTGATACAAAATCGCAATAAACGTAAACGTTTTCTCCAACAAATCTTAAAAAATACTCACAAGTCATGGTACAGATAAAATTCGTAAACTCACAAGTAGGGTTCACAATCACCAGCAAGTAACGTTCAGTTAACGGAAATGACCTCCTTGGTTAAACTCTTAAATTTATGTTCAAGATATAGCAATATGTTATGCATATGACTAAATTATCGTTTGTTATTGATTACTTTAGTAGTTCCATATCACAATTCAATGTTTATTTAAATCAACCTTGGAATAAGACAGATTTTTGTTCGTGTTCAGTGTTGATCACCTAAAAGCAGTTTGTGAGTGGGGAATCTTTACCTAGATAATTTATAAGAAAGTTGAATATCCTCTTTTCCAGCTTTTATTATGTTTTTTTAACTAATATATAAACTTTATAAGGCAGAATGATACTGCCAGCTAGAAAAGGGATCTTTTAAGGGGTTCTCTCACTGTCCATTTGTGAATTTTTTTATCACTTAGTTTACCATTAAAGTAACTTTTACCAGATTAACATAATAACAAATATTATGAAAATTAAAAGAAAAACTTTTTTTTTCAAACAATTTTTCTCAATTTTGAACTTCGTTAAACCAAAATTAAATATGGCAATCCATATACAATCTATTTAAATGAAAAATGAATTATTATTATATTAAAATAATCAATTTTTATAGCATAACACATTACAAAATCATGCTGGCTAAGCATTTAGTTAATTTTACCTTATACCAAATTTCTTATTTGTTATATTTACATGATGTACAATATACTATAAACACCATTTTTATTTCAGTGGCAAGTACTCATTGTAATATTAACATTATACAAACTTTGTTTAAAAAAACAACACCAACCAAAATGTTGCTTCATCCCTCACACATAAAGGTCATGAACATGTTATAGCTATAATAAGGCAACATAGATTTTAATGATAATTAAGCATCTAAAAATGAAAATATATATTTCAGATGGAAACCAGCTCGCAACTTTGGAGGATATATTGGCTTTTATAACTGGGGCAAGCAACATTCCGCCTTGTGGTTTTAGTAAGGCTAAAGAAGTTTTTATAACTGGGGCAAGCAACATTCCGCCTTGTGGTTTTAGTAAGGCTATAGAAGTTTTTATAACTGGGGCAAGCAACATTCCGCCTTGTGGTTTTAGTAAGGCTATAGAAGTTTTTATAACTGGGGCAAGCAACATTCCGCCTTGTGGTTTTAGGTAAGGCTATAGAAGTTTTTATAACTGGGGCAAGCAACATTCCGCCTTGTGGTTTTAGTAAGGCTATAGAAGTTTTTATAACTGGGCAAGCAACATTCCGCCTTGTGGTTTTAGTAAGGCTATAGAAGTTTTTTAAACGAATAAGTTCACATTTTATTTGTTCATTTGAATTATCAGAGAAGTCTTTTATACTTATTTAGTGTATTAAATAAATAAAAGTTCTTTTATTTGTGTTATTTCAATGTAACCTTGCTTAATTTTTAGCTCGACTATACAAAGTGTTTGGAGAGCTATCCTATGTACCCTGGCGTCTGCATCCAGATTTCAGATTTAAGTTTTTATGCAGTAAAATATTGTTTTCTATAACTTGTTTATTTCTTAAGGTTTCAACTTCTTATTTACGTTCCTTAAGATCAACCACATCTAATTTGTGACAAGGTTCATAACTCCAGAAGCAGTATTTATAGAATTATCTCCCCATGAACTTAGATATTTTCATTAAAAATGTTATTTTTTACTATAATTTCTTTATTTCTTGAAGGGATACTGAGGCAAATTAACAACAAAAATATTACAATGATCATATGTACTCAAATCATGCTAAAATGAATTTTTTTAAGTATCAGCATGAATTTCTGTATATTTTGGGATTGAAGCGTAAATATATCTATATACATGTATGTTGAACAAAATTGAGACGTCAACAGAATCACAGAGTAGTTTTAGCATAAGTGAAGTGACTTGAACAGCCTGGAAGTTACAATAACAGATATTGTGGATATTGTATGATTGAAAAAGTCTTAAGTCATTTATTTGACACGTTCATCAACATTTCCAGAATTCACTGTGACAACTATTGTGAAATCTTAAAGCTTTAACCTGACCTGCGTGGGTCAAGTTCGGAAACCACCATTTTATTATTTATAAGGAGAAAAGTTTTGTTCCTGTAACTGCCTTGTGTATTCATTTTGATGACATTTACAGAAGAACGAATGAAAAATTCAAAAGAGGAAATGAAAATTTTGCCCCTGTCTCCCTTTAAGGTATCTACTCCAAACTTAAAATAAATGTTCCTTATCATCACCTACATGATGTGTGACAGGATTCATAACTCTAGCACACATTTTTTCAGAATTGACATTATGAAAATATCACTAACCATGCATATAACTAGCATGGATTTTGACTGAATTATAGTCCTTTCTGAACTTGGAAATTTTTTTATACAACATAAAATCTTCAACATAAAATCTTTACAAGAATCATAATTTGAAAAGGGGTAAAAGGCCAAAGCCAATAGCTAATACCTTTTGAATATAAAGATTCCATGAACAAACTAGTTGGTTTACTTTACTTCAACACCATTGCTAAACACTAAACCTATTAGGGCAAGCTTGTCAGGTGAGTGATATAGGACCACCATTGCGATCTTGTATGACCATTTCATGTTATTGACAAGTTTTTTTCATGGAATGATATTTTAGGCAATGTATCAAAACTGAAATTGCATTTAATATGGTTACATTTGTATTTGGTGTATGTATAAGTCTGTGTTTATTGATATCAAATGATATGAGTATTTAATTTTTGCAATGATACCAAGACAAATATTCATTTGTCCTGCTTTCTCTCCAACTCTGGCGTTTTAAGTTCACAATTATGTGTTCATTCATTCTTCCAGTTCACTCAAGCGGAAAAAATATGGCAACCATACACTAATGTTTTTGCTAAGTTTTCTTGAAATCCACCCATAAAATTGAGGGATTTATGGACTAATTAAGGTAGAAATTCTGACTCCCCATCTGCTCTAGGATAAATAATGAACTAAAGAATAATTTTGAACTTTACAATACATATTTTGTTCATTTCAATTTGATTTAATATAACACTCAAATGGCATTCACCTAAAATGTCTTGAATTGAACTGGCCCCAAAATGAGTTACAACATGGAATAAAGGCTATTGTTTTGAAGTGATAGGATCTTGTCGCATTAATGTTTTAGTGTCCATTGCATGTCGTTATTGGTGAAAAATAAATCCTAGTGCGTTAAGCAAATATTGGAATTTTCCTGACATTACCTATTTCAATTTTGTTCAAAGTTTTCTATTGCATGTAGAATGTTGGTTCTCATCATGTCTGCATGACAAACAGAAAGAAAATAGAAACAAATTAACACATATCCACTTTCAGGGGAACATGGCTTTATTTAGGCCTATTCATAATTGCTTGGGTGTTCCACAATGACGGAAAGAACATTTGTTCTGGTCGAACGAATGGGGATGTTTTAAAATTGAAGGGGAAAATCTTATATGGTGATTGGCCCGTTTTTCCCGTTAAAATTTTAGAAAAAAATAAAGGTCAAACAGAGAAAAAATTTTTTTTGGTAATAAAATTCCCAATTTTTTGGGTTTTTTTAAAGTTGTACTATAAAACTTTTTTTCAATTTTCTTAAAAACAAATCATTTAGGGACAGCTTATCACAAATTTGGGAACCCCGTTAGTTTACCATAGAAAAAAAAATAAAAAAGTGTTTTATTTATAATTTTTATTATTGTTATGTATAAATATAGTCAATTAATAATAAAATTTTGGTGAAACAAATTTGCCTTTTTTCCCAAATTTTCAAAAAGGCCATTATGAAACCCTTTTTTACCCAAAAAAAAACCTTTTAACATAAGTTTTTGGTTTTTCCGAGAAAAGTTCGGAAAAATTTTTTTTTAAGGTTGTTTTTTTTTGATTTTTCCTTGTTTATTGTTAAATTGACTATTTATCTTATAGTTGATGGGGATTTTTTTAGACCCTTAATGATGTTGGTTAATTGTTATTATATAGTTGTATGGATGTTTCAATTCCCTTTTAGTTTTATTTAGGGTTTTATTGGATCAAATTATGTCAATTTATAGATATTTCACTGGTTTTCATAAGAATCTGAAATATCTATTTATTTTATACCATATATGATAATTATACATTTGTTTTAGATGAAATAGCTATTAACCAATTTGTTATTTTGTGTTGTGAGTTATCAATTGATGTTTAAAGCAAAAGTGGAGGATTATCAACTACGTTTGGAGCTTATTAAAATTATAAGTCTAGACGCCGACTGTAATCCACATACTGTGTATCTGGAGATAATAGACATTGTACACATGTTTTCGGGTCTAATGATATATAACCCTTTGTTAAAGAAAGCTTTTAATTATTAACCCGCTTCTTCTGATGGAAATTTGTCATAAAAGATGTCCCCGTGGCACTTGATTCTCAAAACAGGTGCAAAGTTCCAGGTAGTAATTATGACGGTCAAGTTTTCTATTTCAAGTGTTAAAAACATTAAACACCCGTGCCGGATACGCAGCTAATTGCTTACAATTCCTGTGTAATAGTTTACCTTTTGTCAATATCATAATAATGAAATATTTGCATTGCTTTTGATGAAATATAGAATGTATACCAAACAAACATTAATTGTATAAGTGCACTTTATTTCTTAGTTTACGCATAAAAAGCTCGTCACCATATTACATATACAACATATAATACATAATTTGCACATGAAATGAACATATATGATTGAAAAATAATGGTTTATGTAAAGTGAGACTGTTTAATGAGTTAAGAAATTTAAAAAGCATAATTTATGAATACATTTATATACTACACAAGAATTTGTCTATCTTTACCTAACATTATCAATTTTAGCTACAATCCATTTTCTTTTAGGTTTGAGAAATTCGGTAATGCCTATCATTAGAATCCACAAAAAGGCAAACTCGCAGTTTTAATTTGTGACAAATGAAGGGGAATAACTTATGTAACTTTACTTAACCAGTATTTTAACATTTACTTCCCCTTAATAATTCATGATCAAATTATTACGGTAATAGAATTCATTTCTGTATGAAAAATGAATACGTTTACTGATTTTGTACGTTTTTTTATATAAAGAAAAAAACACACAAAAAAAAAAACCCTGACAAATAACCAAAACAAACAAAACTAGACTTAATTATAAAATTGATTTTGTCAAAACATTTTATCATGGTATTTATATTTTGTTGTGTGTTGAAAAACAGATACTGTTGAAGTTTATTTATTTCGGAACCCTTGTAAATATTGTATGGATCAATGCACTTCAAAAAAGGTAAGTCAAGTGTGCAAGAATAGTATAATAATACTTATGGGACGAAGTCTTTGTATTGAGACGCAAGAGTGTATAGTGTTAGCCCGTTGGTCTCTAAATCATACTTGTGCGGGTTCAAATCCCAGTAGTTCCAATTTTTTTTGATGAAATATTGCTATCAATGTACGGGTATTTCGTGTTTTTTGTCATGCATATAAATTACGTAAACAAATTATAACATCGTGGAAAATATATATAAACAATAAACAAGTAAATAAATAAATAAATTATAAATGAATGGATAAAAATTAAAAAAAAACAAACAACTTTATAAAAGTATTAAGACTGAAAAAAGTATAATCCAACTTGGATTTGAACTTAAGACCTTTCGCATGCAAAACAAGTACACAAACCACTACACTAACGGGCCAGATAATAAAAATATTCGTTAACTGTTTTCCTTGTATTTAATTTTCGTATTTGACCTTTTCCTGCCACCCCTATGTACTTTTGTATTTAGGATTGCCCATTCTCGATCATATTTGAATTGACAATATATAAGGCAACACGATAATGTTTACATTAATGGGTCATACCATTATAATAAAATGGGGTGTGCAAGTTATTCAGTTATTACACTTTGCATTTTTATTGCAATACAGAAGAATGAAAGTGAATATGGATACGTCAAACTAAGTAGCGTAGTGGTTAGAGAGTTCAGATTATGAGGAGAAAGTGTAAGTTCAAGTCTGCAATAGTGCAATATTTTTTTGTGTTTGTATGGTTTTTACTTTCAAAAAACATTTTCATATTCTCTCATAAACCTGTGATTTATAATTTTGTACAATTTAAAGTTAACCTTACAACAATTAAATAACAAAATTGAATGTATTTTGATTTTAACAGTCATTGCACAGATTAAATAGTATTGTCAATTTAATGCTATTTTAAACTTTGAATTCAATTTGCTACATTTTTTTTTACGATTTTGGCTCAATTGTATATTTATAT